GCCCCCCGCATGTCAGCCAGCCCGACGACCTGGGGCCAACGGCTGCCCCTGTCCTGATCCCGGTCTGTGCTTTTGGGAAGGGAAAAGGACGAGGACATGTACACTGTCTGTAGCCTTCTCCAGCTCCCTCATGGCTCTGCGGCGCTTTCAGCAGTTGGACGGTACAGCTGCGGAACCGGGAGGTATTCCTGCCACATCAGAAGGAGCAGTGCTCACTGCGGTCACAAGCTGTTGTGCAGACGCACACCAAGCTATTTCGCGCTCCTTTAACACCAGTGTGCTAAAGATTCGAGCGCCGCTCTGTGCCTCTCAGATGTTCCATGACCATTTCCATCCTCTTTGCTTTGAATCCCTCAGTTTCAGGTCAAAGATGCTAGACTAAAGCTAGACTACTAAAGCTCAGCATTGCAGCTGATTTATCCACATGATTAACGGGAACAGAATTTGACGGGTTACGGCATATGGAGTTTTTCTCCTGCTGTTGTGCATAAGGAAATACTCAAAACATTCAAAGGTCTGTGATTTCCCACTCAGAACAGAGCCAGACATATTTTAATTATAGGAAAACCATTGCCAAGCCAGCTTCATGGTACATTCACAACCATTCCTCACTCATTAGGCTCACTCTGTAAAATGAACAAGTTGGTTACTTGAGGTATGTATAAAATGTGTTCACTCATGGAAAATGGATAGACCTGGGAGTTACTTTAGCCATATGTTAGGCAGGATTCGCCAATTCCTGTATGCTGAAATTTGCTCTCATTTCTTATCCCAGGAAAGATTTTACCTGAGTAAGAACCATAGGGCAGAACCGAATATTTATCTGTTGATATTCACTCTTTTTGTACTGACTTTTTTTTTATTTCGTCTTTTCAGAAGGACACCCTGGAGATCTGTCATAGTTCTTTAAGTCAAATATTTTGATGGAAAATGTGTTTTTTTCCAGGAAATGAAAATTTTAGTGAGCAATATCTGTTTTCAATAACATGTTTTCTCTAAAAAAGAAAACAAAACAGCGCACAAAGATTTTTTCAGTTTTCAGTAAATGACAAAAGAATTAATCCCATCTGAAATACTTTAAGATTTCCAGTTGCCTCAAAAAACCTCCAAAACAAACAAACAAACACACACTTGGGGGAAGAAAAACAGAAAAAACAGACACACAAATCATTTCCCTATTGTAGGTAGGCTCCAGTCTTGCAAATAACAGGCTGCAGGCCCAACAAACCCACACCAAGTTTGTGTACTGCTATGAAACAGTGAAAAAAGCCCTGCTCGGTCCCTCAGTTTCAACCTCCCAATTGCACAACTGACAGCGTACTATCATGATCCAGCCTTGCTTCCAGAATCCTGCAGAATCTGTGCACATGGAGCCGCGTGGAAGTGACATGGCTCACTCTCTGCAGGACGAAGTCCTTAGCTACCTATGATAACACATATGTGCAGCATAAGCCAGAGTGGAAACACCTCTCTCTACCCCAGAAAATAAATTGGCCCAGAACATTTTAAGGAGGGACACTTTATCCTTTAACAGACCATTTCAGTTCCATAACTATTTTTTCATTTGCTGCACCACTGATATAAACAAGAACTATTCCAGTAGATGTTAGCTGTGAGAGTGTTTCTAAGACGTAGGACTTGTTTTCCAGGTGTTGGACCATGGCCATTGAGCTATTTCATGAAGACCAGGAGAGAGCCTGCAGAATACCTTTCATCTAGAACGTGCAGCGAGCTAGAAGGAACAAGTGCCTTTGGGCAACAAAGGCTCTATTCTGCAATGGCAGTACATTGAGCTATTCATCCTAAATACACAGATATCAAATTACATTTTTATTTACATGATAATCTTATCTAAAGACCATGAAGTACCGATCCACCTACAGAGTACAGTTTCTAAAACAAAAACCCAGATACATTCCAGGGTGCCTAACTGGCTCTGGCTGGCAATGTGTACATATTCACACCTTATCTACACACAGAGGCAGTTTCCTTCAATTACTGCATACTGCAGACTCACAACCCGTTTAGAATTAGACCTCAAAGTGCAACCACAGAAGGATTGTCCCTCTTTGAGACCAAGGGGCCACTGCTGCTGGCACAGGCTGAAGACAGGCACGTGCATTTCCAGAGCCAATGCCTTCCCTCTCACCCGTGTCTCTTCAGGTATACACAGTAGTTGAATCGATCGCCAACAGCCATTCTCTCCTTGCCCTTTGAGTTACATTTTTCTTTGTATCCTTCCTGTATGCTTCTTCCCTTTCCTTTTAAATCATTTAAGTTTTCCCTCTCTTTCTCAAAAATATGCCCGCATGACTCTCTGACTTTATTAATTAATCTAAAAGTCAGCAGGAGTTGAACTCCAAACTCTTAAGGAACCTAACTTCACTCCAGCTAAGGTTTAAAAGCAAAACAACTCACATTCTGGTTCCTTAAGACAGCTAAATCTCAGTGAGAAAAGTGGTCTTTTTGTTTCTCCATTTCATGTTTTATGAAAATATTGTTGATTGTAATCCCATTGCATCATGGAATACAAATCCCTACTTAAACGGATAAGGCAGCAGAGTGAGATGTAACTTAAATGGCAACAAATTTCACATGGCTTATGTACTAGTTACACCAATTAAATATGCATGTAATAAGGATATTAAAGTCAGTAAGAACTGAGTTTCTATTTTACAAGCTATGGTCATATCAATTAGCTCAACGCTATTAGCTTCATTTGCATGAGAAACTTTTCAGGGGAAAGGGAAGAAAAAGATAAGGAAGAAAATATGGAAAGAAGCTTAAAGGAAAGGAAAGCAGAGGTAGGATGCAAAAGCCATAGAAGAATATAGCATTGCTATAATAATAAAAATTAAGAGGGGACAGAACGTGAATTAGGATCGGTTTACTGCATGTCTTGGATCACTCAAATGAAGGACAGAAATAGTATTGCTGTGGCAGATCTGACTCAAATCTCTACTGTTACAAACTGAAGGTAGCTCTACTAAGATCAAAAAGCTATACTGATTTATATTAGCTGAGAATATTGCCGATGGACTTTAACCCTCTTCATAGATCCTTATCCTAGCACAGCAGTGACAGATGTTTATCAGGTCATGCTGAAATAACCCAGACTGAAACGCAATTTTACTTTTTTTTCAGTCTCCTTCTGTATGTAATTTCCCCATTAATGTTATGGAAAACAGTTTGATTTTCAGAACATCCCCTTCAGCATTTTTTCCCCTCGGCATTTATTTTATTTACCTGAATCCCCTAAGGCTGATCCTTCCCTGCAGATGGACCTAATTAATCTTTCCAACAGTGCCCCTAAGACAAAAGAAAGTAATATATGTACAGATGGGACCGGGGCACTCCATCATCCATCCAAATAAGTGACCAGTAATGTGACCAAAACTATCCCCTGGAGGTTATTGACTGACCACTGTGAAGTCACACAAGGCTCAGTGTAGACAATAAATTTTATTTACTAAGGTGGTACCCTAGAAAAAAAAAAGACTGGCTTAAAGGAGAATATAATAAATTATTTCTGACATGAATAAATTATACAACTGGAAGGCAAACTGCCATCGTAAATTTATCTGCCAAATTAATTTACAATGGACCTCTAGCATGACAATAGGTGAAATGTAATACAA